GCCTGCCCCAGGAGGAACGACGCTCGCTTCTGACTCCGGCCTGCCTCTCCGACCAAAAGGCCTGGCCAAAGAGGAACAGTGCTCGCTTCCGACTCCGGCCTGCCTCTCCGACCGAAAGGCTTGGCCAACGCCCGCCTCCATGCTCTGACTCCGACCCACGCCTCCGACCAAGGATACACCGAACCCCTGCTCATAGCTTTCCTCCGACCGGCGCAAATGGAGCCCACTGGGACCGACCGACCGGGGACGCCCGCTCGGTAGGGACCCAGGAGACGGACAGAGCAAATGAGGCAGGACGCTCAGAACAACCGCCATGCTAAAGACCGTAGCCTGCACGACCGTAGGACAGTACCAACAAAGATATGTTAGAAGGGTGCCCTACAGCCTTCCAGACATGTCAGAACCCAAACAGTGTTGAGGGCGCCGACATTTGCCCTATAGTGTTGCGGGCGCCATCAAATCCCGTACCAGGCTAGCATGGTAAGGTCCCCACATGCATCTTGGCATCCACAGTGTTGTGGGCGTCGGCATTTACCATACCTGGTGCAACACGGTAAAACCTCCCACATGCATCTGACATCAACGGTATTGTGGGCGCCTACAATCATCTTGTACCCGATGGCGTGGGCAACAAGACTTACTAAGCACACGTACACACACACTCTCTCTTGTAAGGCCATCCCCTTCATCTATAAAAGGGGATGCGCTCCCTCCAAAAGGAGGACGATTCGATTGACGGACGATCGATCTTAGACGATCAACACACGCTCGCATACTCAACGCACGTAGGAGCTCCCGTCACTCTCGGCCCTTCAGGCCGGAGTCTGACCGGACCTCTTGCACCCCCATCTTACTCCTACTCGTTTGTAACCCCACAACAAACTTCGAGCACCTGGGCTCAGGAATAAAGTCACCGACCGACTCAAACTAGACGTAGGGCACGTTGCCTAAACCAGTATAAACCCTGTGTCATTGAGTGCTAGGCCACTCCGATCATAACGTATGGCAAAACTATAAATATTTACTTGTTTGTCACTTTTTGCACTGACAAATAGAAAACCATCTTCAAAACCGGCTAGATGACCGGTTTTATTCGGTTTCGTAGTCCATGTTGAAAATTAGACTGTCGCTCACATGTACATTTATAAAACAAGAAGATCAAAGTAAAGTATAAAGGTAGGATGAAAACTGATAGAATACAAGTGGATATGATATGGCTATGAGTACTTGTATATATTTTTTTATATTAAATTCAAAATGATAAGGATAGTGTCAAATGTATGGAATATTGATTTTCACCCTACATGTGTATCAAATATCTAACTCAGAGTATTTAGATTTAAATATGGCATGAATATTAGATATATGAATTATCCATTTAGTATCTAAACCCTTCAAAGACATGGATATCAGGAAATAACCATCCGATTTTCACCCTTAGAGCATCTCCAAGAGTTTCTAAAATTTACTCTCTAAATCGTCATTTGAGTAAAATCGCTTTCTATATCATTGTACCCTCCAATACCTTTTCTATATCTTGTGTGTACTCCAGAGAGCCATCCATGCTCCCGATTTTTGGCTAGTGATAAATCTAGAATAGTGAATTTTCTATATTTGCATGTTCAATTAAAGAGACTGTTAGAGGGTATTTTTTCACTAAAATCTCTATTTCTATAAATTGAAAATGATATAATAAAGAGTCTTTTGGAGTTGCTAACCCTGCACAAGTAGCTAGTTTCTCACTATAACATTTGTTGTTTTCTATTTGAAAACAATTTCACAAGTAGTATTGTTGATTCATTGGATTATACTTGTCCTATGTCCATGCGCTTTCAATGCATCTATCTGCAAAAACTCTCTATAGCGATCATCGACCAATTTTTTGGCTTAAATCTATTGATTTCTCCATCTACTTTTATAATCTGAATTAAATCTCAACGACCTAGATTATAATAACCCATAAATAGATTATAATAGTCCTGTTTATAATCTGAGTTATAATTATCCAAATATAATCAATCATGCCGTATGTTATGCTCAAATTCTATTAAGTCGTCGTTCGCACAAGGCCATCCTACCCAGACTGGCCGGCTATGGCTCATCTGTGTTGTAGTGTTGTGTCTTCTCCCATACGCAGACAAGCACAACTTTGGTTTGCGCGTTAGTGAGAATGAAGGGACCAGATAGTTAATTACTACTAGAACTAGACGACGACGGGGCATGGTCAGGACTCAGGACTCGAGAGCTCGGTTCGTGCTTTACTTATTATTAGTCTTCAACCAGTTGAAATTGTTTTTACTTCCTGGCGTGGCATCGCATGGCCAAGTTGCCCGCCGGCCACCACCACTCGTCACACGGACAAAGGTGGCCCAGCCGAAATAGAAAAACGGAGGGAGAGTTGGTGAAAGGAAAGTGGTTATGGAGGAAAGTGGAAGGAAACTTCGTGTCGTTCCCAGTGCTCACACGCAGAAATAGAATCCCAATTATTTGTGCCACCATCTGCGAGCAATTCGCCCCATTTGCTTCGCTGAAAAAACAAGCCGAAACACTATTCCGCCTAATTTGTTGTGAGAGAAAAACACTGTTCCGGCTGAAAAAACAAGCTGAAAAAGACGGATTATAAGAGAAGCGAACGGAGCATGCTAGCTAGCTAAGCTAGCACCCCACATAGATGTCACTTAGTGACGGGAAACAAAGCTGTGTTGTGGACAGTACTAGTGATGGGTGCACAACCGTCTCAGATAAGTACATAAAAGAGACGGTTGAAAACCAGAAACCGTCTCTGATATGTAACAAATAGTGACGACTCCTAAGGTATTACCCGTCTCTGATAAGTACTTAAGAGTGACGGTTAATAACCACAAACCGTCTGTGATATGTAACAGATAGCGAAGGCTCCTAGGCACTACCGTCTGTCATAAGAATAATACAGACGGTTGCCTAAAAGAAACCATCTCTGATTTTTCACAATTAGTGACGGTACCGAACACAAATGTCTGTGGCCTGCTTAGTCTACTAACGGATATTGCTCAAGCGTCGTCTCTGATATTGGTCAAACAGAGACATTAGCGTTAATGGAGCCCGTCTCAGTTTTGATACAGTACGTTCAGGCGCGACTGCAATATGCTTGCATTAGAGACAGGTTTCTTGTAGAACGTGTCTCTAACGATGCTTATCACAGACGTGTTAGAATGCAAATCCATGTCTCTTTATATGCTCATCACAGGATGGTCATGAATTTCTCATCAGTAAAGTAGTTATAATTGTGCACAGATAAATAAACATACTGGCTAATTAAGTAACCAACTGCAACACATGTCTCACAAGATCAATGTTTACAAACCCGCATAAGTCCAAAGTAAATTTCCCTTCTCATTCATGCCTTCAGAGTCGCGACATCAGGAATGAGACAATAGTTTCTCGGATTCCCAATAGTTTCCCCTTCTCATTCATGTCGTCCATATGGCTGTCCTGCACGTCTCGATCGTTAACACCTCCCTCGCCATGCTTGTTCCAACAACGATAGTCATCCATGAAACCACGAATGATCAGGTGTGCATGGACCGTACATGAGCTGGAGTATTTCTTGTTATTCCTACAATGTTTGCATGGACACCACATAGCAGTAGTTGCAGTGAGTCGACATATCCACCTCTGCTGTTGTAATGAATGACTTGAGACCCTGCAAATACTGATCACAGGTACGGTTCTTCAGATACATCCACGTACGGTCATCCATCTACAACAAAATTAAATGTTCAATATATATACAAACCTGTGTCAGTATGCATACATATATATCTATGTGCATCTCACAATTAATCAATCATTTGATTATATTATTAACTATACAAGTAGTTAATTATTGCTAGAAACCTGAATAAGCACGTTGAAGAGCGTCGACCGAGAGAGATCAGGTCTCTCTCTCTCTCTCTCTCTATCTATCTATCTATCTATATATATATATATATATATATATATATATATATATATATATATATATATACACACACACACACACACACATATATATATATATATATATATATATATATATATATATATATACACACACACATATATATATATATATATATATATATATATAGCAGCAAAATCTTAATTGCAGCAAAATCTTAATTAGGATATTAGACCTACTAAAGAAGGGGAACAATATAATATCGATTTGCAAGAGAGCCGAGGCATGCGCAGCTAGCAGAGATTGAGTAGGGGTATACCTATAAGCTCGATCGATCGATGGCCGGTGCGGGCGACCCATAGCCGACTGCCGGCGGGAGACCTAGCAAGCTAGCTAGCTAATTCCGCGCGCTGCCACCGGCACCCCACGCACCAAAACCATGGCACACTGCACATATCCAGAGGCTAGCTAGGTCGATAGGGGATCGATCTAATAGCTAGAGTGTCGACTAATTGGACGGACATACCCGAGCGGCAATAGGTCAGAGTAATAGTGCTCGCGAGAGAGGACACAATAAGCCGGCCGGCCGTGCTATAGCTTTAGATCGATATCTAGCAAGGAGAAAGCCATCTTTGATTCGACACTGATGGGGTGTAATATGCGCGCGTCACTGCTACAGTAGCACACAGACGGGGATATTCCTTAGGACACCGATATTTTATTGAAAATAGACGGGCTACAATTAAAACCGTCTCTGAATTTCTAGCCGTCTCTAATATGTATTTTAGAGCAGACTAGTAACAAAAGATCCGCATCTCTGAATAATAAACCGTCTCTGATATATTTTATAGAACAAACGGGCCTCAAGGACGCGTGTCTTTGATATATTAGAGACGGCTTATAGTAAGACGCATCTCGGATATTATGTCATCAGAGATTATATTGGTTGTGCGGCTGTAGACTAATATTTCAGAGATGATTCTTTATGTCACCCGTCAGTACTACTTTAGCGACGGTGGCTGACTTACCGTCTCTGATTGACGCGGCTCCTTTGTTGCTTTCTGGTGCATTGACGGGCGTGATGGGCTCCATCATCGGCAAGCTAGCCGCCTTGCTCGGCGAGAAGTACCAGCTCACCAGAGATGTGGAGCGCGGGATCTGCTTCCTGAAAGATGGGCTGAGCGCCATGGACGCCGTGCTGCAAAGGCTCGCAGACAAGGACGACGGCCAGATCGATCCACTCATCAAAGACCGGAGGAACAAGGTGCGTGAGCTATCCTATGATATCGGGGTTTGCTTGGTCTTCAACCAATTGAATATTGTTTTTACTTCCTCGCATGACATCACAAGTTGCGCACCGGCCACCGTGAATTTTTTTTTAACACTTTTTGTAAACTAATTTTAAATCTAACACTATTTATTTTTTTTATTTTCAAAACTAACATTTTTGGCCGCGCCTATTGCCATGGCGCGACGAAAGCCTATGCTGCACCATGCATGGTGACACGGTAGAAGAATAACGTGGCAAAGACCGGAGACACTGACTAATGACGTGGCAAAGAGTCTCCTGGCGCAGGGCATGTGGGTCCACATCTTTGATCCCTCTCCGGCTCTCCCCGCCTCCACAGATGATAGTGTCCCACGGGCAAGCACTGATCTCTTGCGCCGTTGCCCAGCTGTGCTCCCTGCTGCTGGATCTCGGTGGACGACAACGCGGGGACACCTTGACTTGACTTGAGAGTGAGGCACGGCCAACCCGCGTTGCTTGCATTTCACCACCACATCAGCCCACACAAGGTAGCTAGCATTTCACTGAGAGCGAGTGCTCTGCCTCTGCGAGTCCAGATGGCCGAAGTGATGGCGAACACCGCCACGAGCGTGTTCGGCTCCGTCATCGCCAAGCTGGCCGCCATGCTCACCGAGAATACCAGCTCGCCAAAAAAGTCGAGAGCGGGATCTGCTTCCTGCGACACGAGCTGAGCACCACGGATATCGTGAGCTATCCTACGATATCGGGGTTTGCTTGGTCTTCAACCAGTTGAATATTGTTTTTACTTCCTGGCGTGACATCGCAAGTTGCACGTCGGCCAGCACAGCAGCACTTATCGTCACATGGCTTGCGGATTGAGATGGCCTAGCCGAAATAGAAAAACTGAGAGAGAGAGAGAGTTGGTGGAAGAAAGTGGAAGGAAACTTCGTGTCGTTCCCAGTGCTCAGCCGTAGAAATGAGATGCGTTGTTGTTTGCCCCACTTTAACCTGAGAACTGAATCACCTATCCTCTCTCATACCACCGCACAAGCTAGCTAGCATTTCACTCAGCCAGTAGTCGCGAGTCAAGATGGCTGAAATGATCTCGAGCGCCGCCACGGGTGTGTTGGGCTCTGTCATCGACAAGCTGGCCGCCATGCTCACCGACAAGTACAACCTCGCCAGAGACGTCAAGCAAGGGATCCGGTCCCTGCAAGACGAGCTGCGCACCATGGAAGCCATGCTGCTGATGCTCGAAGACAAGGACGACGACCAGATCGATCCACTCGCCAAAGACTGGAGGAGCAAGGTGCGTGAGCTGTCCTACGAAATTGAGGATTGCATCGACCGTTTTGTGCTCAATCACAGCCATGGAGATGGAGGTTCCACGGCCAACTTCGTGCACAAGGCCATTCAAATGGTGAAAACGTTGTTCAAGGACAGAGGAATAGCAGAGGAGATCCGACGACTCAAGAGGCTCGTGAGCGAGCAGAGCGAGCGGGGGAAACGCTACTACGACATCAATCAGTGTCTCCTCGCCTCCTCATCTCAGCCAGTGCCGTTGGATCCTCGAGCACCTGCACTCTTTCAGGAGGCCAGGGATCTTGTTGGAATCGATGCTCCTCGTGAGGAGATCATCAGCTTATTGAGATGTGAAGACAAGGAGCACAAGGTGGTGTCCATCTATGGGATAGGTGGACAGGGGAAGACCACTCTCGCCATGGAGGTGTACCACAAAATCACTGAAGCTGCTTTTGATAGTCGGGCTTTTGTGTCTGTATCACAAACTCCAGATATGAAGAAACTTCTTAGAGATATGTTGTCTCAAATAAGCAAGAGCCATTTTGATCAGTCACAGATGTTAGAGACAGTTGAGCAGCTCATCCGCACAGTGAAAGAATGCTTAAAGGACAAGAGGTAATCAATATTATTTCTTTTTCTAATAGTTAACCAGTTCATCTAGCTAGAATAATGTCGTGCAATATTTGTTCATCACATGAGTTCACCTAATTATTAGGCCATTTATGAAATTTTCTGGGAATTTTAAAAAATGATTCATTTTTTCCTGGCCTAATGAACTTGACAGCATAAAATTACCTCAGATACTTCAATGGCTCAGCATATCTATCAAATGTCATCATTAAAGATGTTGCAACAATGAACAAACTCAAGTCAACTGTGCATCATTTTGGTAAAAAAATTACTTTACACCATCTAATCCATATTCAATAAAATTACTTCTTGGAAAATATGACCAGAATTCTAAATATCCATAAAAATCTCATTTTGGAACTCAGTTTTTGAACTGAATGCATCATGTCTTTTGAGTGGGTCTCTAGGTGTTCTAATGCGGCACTTACCATTTTGGAGGTTGTAACATATTTTTTAAATAATGGTAGTTTACAGACTGCATTTCTCATGTGTAATAATTACTGATAAAAAAGTGTGCCACTACGATCCATCTTACATTTCTCCGACATCTTTAACTTCACTGGAATACGCTTCAATTCATGGTTTGCCTTACATAATTAATAACGTGATTCCACAACCAACGTATGCAGGTACTTCATCTTGATTGATGATATCTGGAGTGTATCAGCATGGGAGCTTGTACGATCTGCCTTACCTGTCAATGACAATGGAAGCAGAATTATTACTACAACACGCATTGAAGCAGTAGCCAAATCTTGTTGTACTGGTATTGCTGCACAAATGTATCAAGCAAAGCCCCTTAGTCATGAGGACTCCCAAAGATTATTCTTTAAGAGGCTATTTTTGTCCGGTGATGATTGCCACCCAGATTTGAGGAAAGTATCCGATGATATTTTAAAGAAATGTTGCGGCTTACCACTAGCCATAATCAGTATAGCTGGTTTATTAGCAAACAGAAGGAAAGCAGTGGAAGTCTGGGTCAATGTATTGAGGTCTATTGCTGCTGTAGTTGACAAAGATTCTCCCATTGATAAGATGAAAAGAATTCTGCTGCTGAGTTACGTTGACCTTCCTCACCATCTAAAGAGCTGTTTGCTATATCTGAGTGTGTTTCCAGAGGATTATCCCATTGATTGCCGACAGTTGATATTGCTATGGGTAGCCGAAGGACTGATTCCTGGACAGGACAGGGAAAGTATGGAGCAGCTAGGGAGAAGTTACTTGAATGAGCTCATCAATAGAAGTTTGGTGCAGCCAACCAAGGTTGGGGGACACGGCGCAACAGTGAAACAGTGCAGAGTTCATGATGTCATACTTGAGTTCATTGTATCAAAGGCCGTGGAGGACAACTTTGTTACTATATGGAATGGTAATGTTTTTTCTAAAAATTATTCTTCGAACAAGATTCGCCGTCTATCCATCCAAAAAGACATTTCTTCCCGGGCAGAAGAGATTGCCAAGACAATAAAAAATGGAGCTCAGATCCGATCCATCAATATCTTTGGCTCAAATTCAGTTCTGGTTACTAAGCATGCCACAGAGTTCTTAAACAGACAAGTCTTGCGAGTGTTGAATATTGAAGTTGAATATTGTGAGGTTGGTGAATGCTCTCTTGGAAATGTCAAAAGTTTAGGTCAGTTGAAGTACTTGAGGATACACGGTCATGCTTCGGTCGGCAAGCTTCCACAAGATATAGAAAAGCTGCAACATCTGGAGACACTAGATGTGAGATGGCAATGTCTTGAAAAGCTACCAGCAAGTATTGTCCAGTTGCAGAAGCTAGTGCGTCTTCATGTCGATCGGTCGGTGCGCCTACCCGATGGAATCGGAAGTCTGCAGGCGTTGGAAGAGCTATCATGGATTGATTTGGATATTCAATCTGTAAAGTTTATCCAAGGACTCAGTGATCTGACCAATCTGAGAATACTTGAAATTGGTCACAAGGAAGCATGTATCTCTACGCTCTCCAGGCTGTTCGGGCACCTGCAAGAACTGCGCGTGTGGGGGAGTGAACCTGATGCCACATGTTCATTCATGGCTTCGTGTGTCCCTACTCCACCACCGCTTCAAATGCTTCTTCTTGATACACATAACTTAAATAGGGTGGGCCCTCAAATTAGCTCACTAGTCAACCTGACCCGCCTCTGCATTTTTGTCCGTGGTGAAGCAGGCAAGGAAGGAATAAATATCCTAGCAAGTTTACCCATGCTGCTCTCTCTTACTGTTGGCTTATTCAATGACTTAAATTGCATCGTCTACGCAAGGCATGCAATCAGCAGACAAGGATTCCAGCGTTTGGTCAAGTTTCATTTCCGCCATTGTTTGCGTGACGCGGCATTGGAGTTTGAGCCAGGAGCCATGCCAAAGCTCCAAAGGCTCAAGCTGGAACTGATGGCACGGTGCCAGTTCAAGTACGGGGAAGGTGGCCTCGTCCTTGGGCTGCAGAACCTGGCAGGGCTCAAACATCTGGCTATAGATATTAACTGCAGCGCTGCTGTTGCAGACGAGGTGGAGGCTTTGGAGGATGACATCAGGGGCGCAGCAGCCGTCCATCCCAACCGTCCCATACTCCAGATCCAAAGATTTCTTCGGATGGCTCAGGGGTGCAGCAGGCGTCCATCCGACCATGCCATAGTAGAAGCCTAATGAAGACCATTGTGAGTACATGATGTGGAGAATAAGTATAACCATCAATTATCATATGTTTTTCCGTTTTTGGGTACGTACGGAGTATGTAGGAATTGAACAGGGCAAATTCGACCTCTCGGATGGCAGGCGGCACCACTGGTTGATAACTATCTCAGTCTTTCAGGGAGCTTCAACTGGTGGTTTCAATTGCTATGTGGCTTTTAGTTCTGACAATGCCTAGATAGGTTTGCTTGCGTAGTTTTGTCAGGTACGAGACTTCACTTTATTTTAGAAATTCTAGTCTTCTTTTTTATGCATTGAGTTCATCTGTCACATGGTTCATTATTGTATTTGTTTCCAAATTAAGATCGATCAGTATTTGTAATGTAACCCCCAAATTTTTTGTGTCATGTGGAACGTTATTTTAAGCTTGAGTAAAATACATCAGTGACTCTTCTATTAATTATTCGTGACATGTGTTACGGTGCTTGAGGGCAAACTGTGGTTCCTCCCCTTTGATCATTAATAAACCGTTGAGACTAACTAGAAGTGCTTTAATGTTAAGAAGGGTCTTGTGCACTTGGAACTGCTATTACTTATCCGTGTCTCCTAGAGCCGCCGACCACTGCTGCTAGTTACCCCGGCCCGCTGCAGACAGCCAATGGGAAGACAAAAAAGGTTTGAGACTTCCTAGTACAGCTATAGACCTTTGTGTTCATTTATTGCAACAACCTGATGTAATCGGAAGTCTGCAGGCGTTGGAAGAGCTATCAATGATCGATTTGGGTATTCAATCTATAAAGTTTATCCAAGGACTCGGTGATCTGACCAATCTGAGGGTACTTCAAATTAAATGGCCGTACTCTACTGAAGTATGTGATATGAAGGATCACAAGGAAGCATGTTTGTCAACGCTCTCCAGGCTGTTCAGGCACCTGTGAGAACTACGTGTGTGGCAGAGTGATCCTGATGGTTCATTCATAGCTTCGTGTGTCCCTACACCACCGCTTCAAATGCTGCTTCTTGATACACATAACTTAAATAGGGTGGGCCCTCAAATCAGCTCACTAGTCAACCTGACTGTCCGTGGTGAAGCAGGCAAGGAAGGAATAAATATTCTAGCAAGTTTACCCACGCTGCTCTCTCTTACTGTTGGCTTATGCAATGACAAAGATGGAGATTCAGGCATCGTCTACCCGAGGAACGCAATCAACCCACAAGGATTTCCGCGTTTGCTCAAGTTTCATTTCCGCTGTTATTGGTGTGACGCGGCATTGGAGTTTGAGCCAGGAGCCATGCCAAAGCTCCAAAGGCTCAAGCTGGAACTGATGGCACGGTGCCAGTTCAAGTGGGAAGGTGGCCTGGTCTTGGTCTGCAGAATTTGGCAGGCCTCAAACATGTCGACGTCGATGTTAACTGCTCTGCTGCTGTTGCTGATGAGGTGGAGGCTTTGGAGAATGACATCAGGGACGCAGCAGGCGTCCATCCCAATAGTCCCATGCTCCAGGTAAGAAGACTTGATCAAGAAATATTTGGTTCCATGGCTTAGGGGTGCAGCAGGCGTCCATCTGACCATCCCATCCCATACTAGAAGCCCGATGACCAAGGGAATGCTATTTCGAGTTATTATCCACTTATCCTCATGCACTGCACGGCACCTCTGATTGTACTTATCTCAATTCGTCAGGGGTACTGTATCTTTTAGTTCTAATAATGCTTAGATGTTTGCAAGGATTTATCTTGTGTTTACTTGGTTTCGTTTTAGAAAAGTCTTTTGTTTTCTTTTATGTGTTGAGATTATTCTTCGCATGGGTCATTATTGCATTTCTTTCTCATGGTAGCTCACTAGTTGCTTTAAACTAGTAAAGCAAAATGCATCGTGACCCTCAATTTGTCCCGCCTTGTATATGGTCTCTTAATATATATAGAAAAACTTGCAAACAATGGCTTTGACCTTGATATGTGGGCCTTAAAGATATCTAGTCCAGATTGTTAGAAATAATATGCTGCTCCCTCTGTACCCGCGCAGCAGGGGACGACACAAAAGTTAGCCCTGCTATCACATCTAGTCACTGTAGCAGTATGGCAATAGGACATGTTTGTGTACTAGGATTATATATGAGTAGTTGGAGGTTGGAGTACTTGCCAACAACCCTTGTACCTGGCAAGCTATGCAGCTCAGATACGGATACGAGTATCGGATACGATACATATCGGATATGCGGATTGAAAAGGCAATGAAGGGGGGATACGGCTGGTATACTTTAATAATATATTTAGTAACTAAATAACAAACCGATTGTAAGTTTCATGAGTTCAACAAATAGATATCTAGGGTTCAACTTAAATTACAGAACAAACTAATGCAGCGATTTAATTTAAAAAGGTGAAATAAGGAGCATAGAGACCTTACGAGAAAATTCAATTATGACTCAATTTTCTTCTCCAGCCTCTGCAATTTTGTTTTGAAGTTGTTGAAGAACTGCTTCTGTCACATTGGGGCACACATTGATTCCACGTTATGAATAGGAAGCCAATGTTGATTTAATTGTACAGTAGGATACGAGGATGACCACACAGTATTTGCATCTGAAGTGCGCGATTCTTCCAACACTAGTTGTGGCGTTGTTGATGCTGCACAAGGCGACCTCCCGTGATGGCGATGGGATGGATGATACAGAGAAAATCAAGGAGCCAAATCAGAGTATTAGAATGGAGCAGAAGATTCAAGGCTTCATGCCAGTCGAATTCTGCCAGAGATGGAGCTCGCCGGCCACCGGCCGCTAGATCCAGTCATCCAGATAGGCGCGTGAGAGAGGGATGTCCCGATGTACTAGCTCATGGCAGCGCACCTGTGACTGCCGATTGTGCTGAGGGGATCGAAGGTCACACGGAACGAGCGGGCCTGGAGGTCTGTTTGACGTATTGGGCATACCAATAGACATTAGAAGCTCAGTTCTCCACACCCGAGAAGAGTTTTGGCCAACGCTGGTGCTTGTTCGGTGTATGTGCTGTTCTCACTCCCTCTTCAACCTCTAGCCTAGTGTGAGTGTGCGACAGTGTCGGTGAGTGGATTGCTCACCCGTGCGAGAGATTTCAGGCCAACAAGTGGTATCAGAGCCGGGGTGGGTGTTTGCCTTTGACGATGGAGGGCAACGGCAGTCAGGGCGGTGGCGAGAAGTCGCCACGACAGTCCCGGTCGCCGGTGCGTCACGAGGTGGTCATCCAGAGGGCCGTGCGGAATGTTGGCGGAGCCAACTGGCCGGTCCTCACTCGCACCAACTATGGCGAGTGGTCGGTGACCATGAAGGTCAAGCTCAGAGCCCGACGGCTCTAGAAGGCGGTTGACCAGGGCACCGAGGATGAAGAGGAGGACTGCTCGGCACTGGAGGCAATCCTAGCCGCCGTGCCTCCAGAGTACCGGGAGCCGTTGGGGTTGAAGGACTCCACCAAGGAAGCTTGGGACACCCTCAAGACCATGCGGGTCGTGTTCGACCGCACAAAGAAGGTGAAGGCACAACAACTGCGGTGGGAGTACGACAACCTGGCGTTCTGCGACGGGGAGGCGGTGGAGGACTTCGCCCTTCTACTGCAATCCCTCATCAGCCAACTGATGGAGCACGGCATCGTCATCGACGACGAGGAGGCAGTCTCCAAGTACCTGCGCATCGTACCGCCCAAATACACCCAGATCACTCTCTCCATCGAGACGATGCCAGACCTGTCAAACCTCACGATTGAGGATCTGACAGGACATCTGCGGGTGGTGGACGACCGCATAGGGGCGACTACAACATTGGTCGTCGGCAAGCTACTGATGACCGAGGAGGAGTGGACTGCTCGGATGCGGGAGAAGGGGTTCGGGGAAGCCTCCTCTAGCCGTGGTGGCGATGGCAAGCGCCGCATCAAGGCCTTGCAGCAGAGGAAGAAGAAGGGTGGTGAGCCCCTGGGTAGGGACACTTGCCGCCGCTATGGGAAGATTGGCCACGGGGCCAAGAAGTGCCCTAACCAAAAGAAGGAGAAGGCTGAGGCTCACCTGGCTCAGATGGACGACGATGAGCCAACTCCCTTGATGGTGACATTCTGTGCGCTGCACGACGTTGAGACAGAGAAAAAAGCAGAGGAGGTGGCTGCTGTGGAGCAGGGGACTGCATCGCAGGCCATCGACCTCGACGAGCAACGCGCCCAAGTCCATCTTGGATGAGTGGGCGGCGAGGTGGAGCAGAGGTAGTATCTGAACTCCGGCGCCAGGAACCTTATGACCGGCTCCAAGGCGGCTTTCTCTGAGCTCGACGACAGCGTGACAGGGTCGGTTTGGCGATGGCTCGAAGGTGGAGATTCGATGTCGTGGCACCAGCATCTTTCGGTGTCAGAATTGTGAGCACCGCGCACTGACGGATGTGTACTACATCCCGTAGCTGCGCTCGAGCATCGTCATCATCGGACAGCTGGATGAGCTCGGGTGCGAGGTGCTGATCGATAGCGGGATCTTAAAGATCCGCGATCGAGAGCGGCTTCTTCTCACCAAGGTAAAACGCTCCCGTAATCGATTGTACCTGCTCGATTTGAAGGTGGAGCAGTTGGTGTGCCTGGTAGCGTGGCACACCGAGGAGCCGTGGCTGTGACATGCCTAGTTTGGACATCTCATCTTCGACAAACTCGGTCAGCTAGAGAAGATGATCCGAGGGCTGCCCCACATCGAGCACGCGGGCGAGCCGTGTGATAGCTGCCTGGCCGAGAAGCAGAGAAGACTGTCGTTTCCATAGGTGGCCATGTATCACGCGGCGGACGTCCTCGTGCTCGTCCATGGTGACTTCTGTGGGCCAATCATGCCGGCCACACACGGCGGGCGGCGGTATTTCCCTCTGCTCATGGATGATTGCAGTTGCTACATGTGGCTGCAACTCCTGACAATCAAGGACGAGGCGGAGGAGGCGATCAAGAGGTTCCAGGCGTGGGTGGAGGTAGAGTCCAGGAAGAAGCTGCACGTGTTGAGGACAGATCGCGGCGGCAAATTC